CCCCATGTGACTTTCCATCACCAGAACAAAAGCCACAGCAGGGGCTTCTGTCAAGGTCACCTGGTTTGAGACTGGGAAATGACTCTGAGGAAAAATGATCTACCCCAGTTTAAGATACAGAGGCTGAGAGTGCCTGGAGGAAGTTACAGACTGGCAGACAGGAACAATTCAGCAATTCTCTGGCTTCTTCAGAAGGCTTTTATTGATTTCTAACCAAAGCACATATGCAAAATGCAAAACTATCAAAAGATAGGGTTGTAAGAATCCCAAGTTCCCTGGAAGATTGAATAGAGAGAGAGGCTGGGTAAAAAGGTTAGGGGGTTACTAACAAACAAATAGCTAGAAAGGGGGAGAAGTTCAATCCCCGCAGGGGAGCAAACCAGGTTCCCTAATCTAACTGTAGATCAGAAGTTCAAAGGACTTGGCTCTCTTTCAGTCCCGCCCCACCTGTTGACTGTGGCCACACACAGGGGTAGTTCGACCTGCCCCACCTCCAGGCTCTCTTCATCTTCTGTGGTCTTGATGAACCCCCAGGGGTCACGGTCTGCAGCCTTCCTGGATGCCCCTGGATTGAGGCAGGGAACCCCAATGAGAAGTCACCTATCTACCTCCCACAGCCTTCCCCGCTGCCCGGCCTAGTGAGGAGCTCTGTCTCCATCTGTCCACCCTGCTTAGGACTGCAGGTCCCTGGTAAGAAGCCTGCGGGGCAGAGGCAGCCATGAACGTGGCCCCCAGTGGGCAGCTTTGATGCCAGGAGGCTGCCCCAAGGTCCTGCCCAACCTGGCCTCAGCTCCACATCCTTTCTGGGATTCCACGGGAGCCCTTCAGTTTACCCCACTTTTAAGAACCTGAGCTTTTGAAGCAAATCAGGCTTTGGCAGGCCCTGGGTCGGTAGTTCCACTGTGACTGATCAACATGCCCTCTTTTCCAGGGAGCACCGGGCCTCCTTGCCCTGCCTGTCTCTCTACAAGCAGAAACCCCAGGGGCAAGTGGGAGGGTAGGAAGGGAATAGGGCCTTTGGGAATAGGCATGAGGATTTTAAGCAGTTGACTTTTGGGGTGTGTTATATAAGACTCATCCTTACCTATGTCACCCTTAGTAGAGTCAGCTTACCTGGGTAACTCTGGAAATGGGGATTCTTGGTCAGGGTTTGCACAGAGTGAGAACAGAGGTGACCAATGGCAACAGGGTCATGATGCCAGCCTCTCCAAGGGCAAGAATGGGGTCTTGCTCATCTTTGAACACACACCTAGCGTTGTCCCTGGCCCACAATCAGTACTTCCTACTGTCATTAAGTGGAACAGGAGACAATGGATACTTGGTAACAATGTCAAGGCTTCACTAAGGGCTGACTAGGTGCCCAGCACCATGCCAAACACAGCCCTGTGCAGTGAAGTCACATGCCCAGGATCAAGCAGTTAAACTTGCGATGAAATTGGGATTTGACCCCTGGCCTGCGACTTAGGCACCTGCACTTCCCACCTCTTCACAGTGATGCCACTGTGGAGCTGTCCAGGCCCCAGGGACTAGGAGAGGAAGGTGGAGAGGACAGTACAAGTTGGAGTGGATCAGGCATTTCCTGACCTGGGAAATGTGCAGAGGTCAGCGTACAGCCTCCCCTCCTGGGTGTCTCACCGAAGGCACCCCAAGAGCTAATCCAGCTTTCCCCTCACAGGCTGCGGGGATCCTATTCCCACCTGCACTATGGCTACCTCCCAGATGCCCTGGTAGACCTCACAGGGGGCGTGGTCAGCAGCATCACCCTGCACTCCTCCCTGTCCCAGCTGCTGATGGTGGTGAGGACAGCAGCTGCAGAAGGCGCCCTGATGACTTGTGCCACCCCCCATGGGGTGAGTAGATGGGGAGGCCCTAGGTTCTGTGCTCAGCCAGGGGGCTGTTCTGGTAGAGGAGGGAATGGCAAGGGCCACTCTGGAGACAGATGGCCTGCCTTACCCTGTACTGCCTCCATCTGGGGCAGAGACAGCAGGATCCTCTTGTAGGAGAGGAGCCAGGCTCAGAAGTGCTCACTCTCACACAGCCGGGAAGTGGCTGGGCAGGGCCTCCAATGCTGCTGACACCAAAGCCCTGACACGAGCCATAGGGCCCACAGTGTCCGGGGAGGGGATGGCATCTACCATCCACCAGAGAAGGCAGTTCACTTTGCCTTAAGTTTACAGGGAGTCCTGGGGACCTCCAGTTCTTCCTGGTTCTAAAGGCAGCACCCCAAAGGTCCCTGTCCCATTTTGAAAGCTTGGATGACCCTCCAAATTCTGAGTCTGTTCTTTGGATCTGACTCCCTATCCCTGGGAATGCCTCCTTCACTCGTGAAACTTGGGCTTTGATACACACAGCCCTAATCTGAAGTGCCCCAGCACCCCCAGACACACTGTAAACCCCGGCTACCCACAGCACAGGGGCTGGGCATGCCTGACCCCTGCAAATGACCCAGCAGGCGTTTGTGTCTCACTGAGGATGGGTGGTTGGCAGAATGAGTGGCAGGTCCCTGTGGGGCCCTGTCGTGGGGGTGGTCTCCAGAGGCATGAAGTCCCTGGAACCTCACCCACCAGGAAAGGTTTCCAACTCAGCCTCTCTAGAAAAGAGTTCCAGGCCGTGCACCATTCCCAAGTGAGTCAGTGTTGAACTGTTTGTCCATCTCTTTAAAGAACCTGTAGGTGTTTAAAATTTGATTTGCTTATCTGCTTGGCAGCCCACAGATGAGGCAGAGGTGATGGCGAACGGGCTGGTGAGTCAGCACGCCTACACGGTGACCAGGGCTGAGCAGGTAAGGCCGCCTGCTGTCTCGTCAGCTCTCCCCAGCCTGTGCCCCAGTGCCCAAAGTCTTGTTCCTCTAGGCAGGGGTCAAAACAAAGCTAAAATGAGTATTTATTACCACAGTGGCACCCACTATGGACAGTGGGAATTTCTGTTCATACAGAAGTTCTGGCTCCCAGTATCCTCCTCCCCCCCAGGAACCCCCCAGAGGTCTTGCTATCCCTGAGCTGATCTCAGACAAATCAGCCAAACAAAGAGACTAGCTCCCAAAAGAGGCAAAATGAATGACCCAGTTGGCTCTGGGAAAAAGTTTTGCCCTGAAAGGAGTTTTATTTGTTATATACAAGCTAACCTACTGTGACAAAGGCACTTCAAAATATAGGGGCTTAAACAGAGCTCGATTCTGTCCCAGGTGAGCAGGTGGTGCAGGGCTGGTAGGTCGGTGGCTCTGCTGTCCCCAGCATGGGGTCTCTGTGAGCCCAAGATGGCTGATCCAAGTCCCCTCATCTCCCAGCCGGGGTAGAGAATGAGTCCAGGGGACATTCCAGCATGCACATAGAAGGCAACAATTGGAAAAGGCATGTGTCATTTCCTCTCACGTCCCAGCAGTCTGAACTAATCACATGGCTGCTGAGGCCCACATGGCCACCTGAGGATGGCCTGAAGATGATTGTCAGGCTGGACGGCCCAGATGAAACTTGCTTCTTGTGAAAGGGGAGTAAGAATAGCTTTAGAGGACAGTCTTTCCCTTGATGGAGGAATTGACTTTAAAAATGTACGTATTACTGTGCATAACAGAATTGGGGCTGAAAAACACTGCTGAAGTCCAGGTGCCTCTGTTTATAAAGGGAGAAGCTGAGGCCTTTCCCAGGGTGATGCAGACAGTCACCTGTGAAACGGCCGTCTGGACAGGTCCCATCAGCGTCCATCTATGCACATCAGGCAGCCGTGTGGTGACAGCACTTCCTGGCCTTGTGGTGGTTTCTGCACCTGTCCCCCCTCTCTGTATCTGCCACGGTTCTTATGATCTGGTAATAATGTCATCTAAGCTATAAGAGAGTTCCACACTGCAGGATGTGCTCATCTCAGGTCCTGATGGGCCCCGGCATGCAGGGTCAGGTCCCACCTGTGGCTCTCAACCTGCCCTGCCCCTCTCTCTACCAACCTGGCTCTCTTGCCCACTGACCTCAGGCCAGTGTACCATCATTTCATGTTCTGGTGACTGTCCCAGTCACAAAATGGAGACAATCTCTCCTGTCCCCTCTCTGTCGCCCTAAGGTAAATTAGCAATAATACATTTCCTCTCAGGTGGCGCCTGTGGCTCAAGGAGTAGGGTGTCCACCCCATATACCGGAGGTGGCAGGTTCAAACTTGGTCCTGGCCAAAAAACTGCAAAAAAAAAAAAAACCCCAAACATTTCCTCTGTGTTATGTGCCTACTATCTCTGTCATAAATGCTTTTGGATCAGGGGATGAATATTGACGCAAGAGTGAATTGATCATTGGCTCTTGGCCTGGGAAGGTGATATACCTGATCCCCCAATATAACATATATGTGAGGAGCTGCAAAGACATTTCCCGCAGCAAGAAGTGCTTGTCCTGCAATGCCCCAGCCCAGGAGATCCCAGTCACGGCAGCTCCAGCCCCTCTTCCTTGGAACTACACACCACCTGTGCTGCTCCCCCGTGACAAGGAGGGACAACCAATCATCACCTTGCTGTTTCCAGATCTGGGGAAAGAAGGACGTCAACTAGTAACATCTGTCTAGGGCATGGGCGGAGGGAGTTGTGGTACCCTCACGATGTGGGTACACAACACTTGCACACAACACACTTTTTAGACATTGAGACAGTTTTTGTTTCACCTCTGAACACAGCACAGAAGGGACTTGTCTACCCAGAGGTCCAGACGGACATGGAGTAGGAATCCCCAGAGAAGCC